TGTCAGGAGTGATGGTGTCTGGGTCAACAGGAGGAAGAGGTGGAAGATCAGCCATGTGAGTGGGTGTGGACACAATGGGTGCTGGGGCAGAGTTGATGCTATCAGATGGGGGAGGGACACCATTGATCCGGGTAATGCGAACTTCATGCTGATGTGTAAGCTGGGACTTATTGACTGCAACACAGTTCCTGAAGTTCTGGCCCATCTCGATTGGAATGGGTATTCAGCCTGAACGTCGAATGATAGTGGCATGAGGAGGGTCAATGGGAGGTGCAGGAGTCACAGGAGATGCAGCGCACGTGGTTGGGTTGTGACTGATTGCTGGAGCAAGTACATCGTCATCTTCATCATCACTGTCTGGGAACTCATGATTCATCAGACTCTCATTAAAGATAATGTCATGTGAGTTAAAGAAGGCTCCAGTGGCAAGGTCATGGCACCGCCATGCTTTCACTCCAGGGGGATACCCCATGAAGATGGCTTCATGAGAGTGAGATCTGAGCTTCTGTTGCAGTTCTGTGGGGATGCGCACGAAACAGTGTGCACCAAAGATGTGAATGTGGGATAGATCTGGCTGAACACCATGAAGCATCTCATAAGGAGTCTTCCTCACTGGCAAAGTACATGACTCAGTCCGGTTAAATAAGTAGCATGCAGTGAGTGCAGCCTCTCCCCACAGTAGTCTTGGCAGATGAGCGAAGTCCAGCATCACATACATATGACCTTCAATCGTATGCATCACCCTCTCTGCCTTCCCATTTTGCTGATAAGCATAGGGGGCAGAGTGTTGATACCCAGTGAAAACTGACTATGACAGGAGGAGTCGTGGTGTGACGATAAGTGATTTTGTCAGCAGCTCAGTAGAAAAACATATGAGAACATGATAAGACACATAGTGAGCGAATCCACACATTTCAATATATGCAGGTGTGGGTTTCCTCATGCACATAGGTGCTTTTTTTAATGTAAAACATATTTGCGCATTTGAACGCATATACTCGTTGTAGAGACTCATGCCTCTCATTGTGCAATATGGCAGTTTTCACTGGGGAGTACATGGCACGAACTTGTAGCATCACTCTGTGTGCTACCTGCAGCTATCTCTATATGAGGCGCAGCTTTCCCGCGCAACGCGCGCCATGCGCGCGTACCTTTCCCGCGCTTCACGATGTATATGCGCGCGCGCTTTCCCGCGCTGTAGCGCCCTATAGCACCAGCCATCCAGAAGCATCCATCCACTGTCCACCAAGTTCCCTAGTGCGTATATTTCCATTTCTCACATTTGCTTATTGTTCCATCTTTATTTTTATCATGGACCCTTACTTACATATATCTTTACATACCTTACTCGGTAGCGCTTCGGCTCCGCATGACAGCGCTTAGGCGCCATACTTAAGCGCCAGCAGTACATACTAACTTACTCTCCCACCAGAACGACAGAGGACTTACTGGTTACTACCCACTATTCACCTAGCAGAACATAGTAGAAATCTATTTGTTTACACCTCGCATCTCCCTTCTCTTGTCTTACATCATATCATCACCTAAGCAAACTCACTCTTACTCTCTCTTGTTTCCGCATACACGCGCGCGCATTCCCGCGCTTCGCGCATTCTCGCGCCTCGCGCGCACCTGCGCTTTCCCGCGCTTCGCATTGGCCAATCAGTAGCGCTTTCAGCGCATACCTCTAGATCCTTGCTGCACTCGCTTCCCCTTTAGGGTCGAACACACTTGTCGTCTCAAGTATAGCAGACTAGGCAACGCGCGACCTTACAACAATTATAGATACAGTCAGGAGCATTGTTTGTGCCTCGCTGTATCGTTGAACCTTCATCGTTCCCCTTGCCAGATGGTTGAAAATGTGCGCAAATATGCTCGAATAATATTAGGCACTGTAGGAATGGTGGTACAAAAGTGGTACAAAAAAGCTCAAAAACACATATAGCGGCTTGAAAACATGATGTGCGTGGACAGCGGCTCGAAAGCACTCGAAAACATTGTAGGAAATGTGTATGTCGAATTGTGCAGGGTCGGATCATGCTGAAGCGGATCATGCTGAATCTAATAGTGACATCCTTCGGAGACAGATTTGGTCCATGTATCAGAAGCAACCTAGTAGACAATGATTTAGAAGGTCCATCGAGAGAGAATCAAGGACTTACAAGTGTAGCTGCTTCCTCATTGTATCCCTACCGGTCAGTGTGAATGAATCAACTCAAATACAAGAGATTATATCACTTGCCTTTTGTTGCTCTAGTGTCAGATTCCCATAATAAGCACAAAATTCCTCTGTCGTCCCGCCAATTTTGATTTGCTTCAGCCAACAAAGAGCACATAGATTACTGCAACCCATTAGTAAAGGGAAAGTCTGAGAAAAAAACACGTACCATCCATTCTTAGTAGGGCTCGGGCACATTTTCAAGCTCTTGCTTCCTGCCTTGGCTGCTTTGCCTTTCTGGAGGTTGGAGTTGGCTCCATCGGATGGGACAGACACTTTTTCGGTTGGAACAGGAGGTGCTTGCATAGGTACAGAATTGGAAGGCAGTGGAGGAATTTTCACGCCAGTGGCAGCCAGCGCAAGCAACGAGCTAAAGAAAGTAAGTAACACCAACAAATAAAAGCAATGTACAACCAACATGGGATTGGATACAGTGATTTTGATTGGTGCAGGTGTAGCGGTAGGTGGCTGTGGTGGTGGTATATTTTCCTTTTCCTCAAGCGGATCGCCAGCAGGATGAGATGACACGGTGATAGGGCTTGGAAGAGTAGTGGGAGATTTGGACTCTTTGATGGGATGGGAAGGCTCTGCAATAACAATAGTAGGAGTGACACTCACACTCTCCAGAGACTCTTCGATGATGGTATGAGAAGGCTCTGCAGTGTCACCGTTGGTAGTGGGAATGCTTGCACTCTCCGAGTCCAAAAGATCCAGAGATGGTGATAGCACTGGGGAAGGAAGTACTGCTGGTGGTATCGAAGGAGTTGGAGGCAAAGAAGGGGGAATCAACACATTTGGAGTAACTACAGTATGGTATTATTAGTAGGGTAAAGCAACTTGAGTGAGAACCTACATTTGAGTTTCTTTTCTGGGACCTTGGACTTTGAGCACTTCACTTTCTTGCGCTTCTTACCTTTTGCGTCCGAGGAGTCTCCATCGTCGCTGTCATCATCACTGACGTCATTGCCATCCTTCCTTGATTTCCAGTTGCCATTGTCATCAAGGTGGTTCCTTCGCCATGTGGAGTAAGACGACTTGCACAGATAATCTAGTTTCCATCCATCGTTAGCAAGAGTAAACAGTGGGTACGATTTTTCCATGAGTGAATGAATGAATTGGTTTCCTGTCGAGGACAACTTGCCCCACGACTTCAGAGCAAGCTGGCGATTTACAAGTTCTGAACATCCTCCACGCAGGGTCTTGTGAATAGCTTTGACTGTTGCTTCAGGGACCAGTTCTCCTTTTTCACCTTCAAGGTAAGGAATTTTCCCGCAATGAAGCCCTTGCGTGCTAGCTCGTTCTGCCCAATCCAAGAATGCGTCCTGGTTCCAAAATTTGACCTTGGGATGTGTCTCACAAGTCGGCCGTTTGATGTTACTGGTGCAGGGTGCTGCCAGTGATAGGTGTGTGCCTTTGGAGCTGAGAGACTCCACAGCTTCATCAAGGCACACAGAAGAGGCGAGCTGGTGAAACATTGCCCTATCATTACATTAGAGAATGCACATGAAGTACATACAAAATCTTACTGTATAGTATCACGTTCAATGGAGAGTTTGGTGACCTGTGCTTCCAAGATTCCACAATGCTCTTGCAAGGCTTGGTTTTCATGCATATATGCTCCCTAAAACATACAGTAAGTTAATAGAAACAGTAGCAAGTGACTCACCTGCTGAAACAAGCTGAATTGAGGCTGTGGGACTTGCACTGGGGGTGGTGAGAATGAATCTGCCTCGGGTGACGTCATATTTGCCAAGGAGGGTCCAGGAGAAGGTGTATAAGACCCTGAAAATGCACTGTTGTTCCAGAGGCTAGAGCCTCCCTCGCCAGCCATACTGAACATACTAGAACTGTAAGAATTATAAAGTCAGTGATAGGACAGACTGGCTCGATATAAACTACAAGCAAGACTCATTAAGTCATCTGTATTCAATATTCTGTCTCCGATGGAAAATACCGAATCAAGAAACTTGTCTTGGTCTCGACACGGTACCTTTCATTTCATGACTTACCACACATTGATGTCTTCCCCAACTATCATTAGCTCATCCAACGTCATGATGCTCGGGGATGTTGTTGTTGTCAAGATCGATGGTTTAGACGTGTGGTGGGCTACTTATGTCTTGTCTTTAGACATGGAATCTCCTGGATGAAAGGTGCAGTGTTTTTTGTGCTTATTTGCTGATCCCACATATATAATTGTATAGAGAGTTGTTTTTTCGCTTCAAAGACCTTCGTCGCAATGAGGATCAAAGCCAGATGAAGACATGATGCCAGTGGTTAAGTCTGAGGAGGAGAACATCAAAACCTGAGCCTGAGGAAGATCTGACAATTAAGGTTGAGGAGGACCTTCCTGAACTTCTTCTGGCAATGTAAGTACAATATTGCTCTGTATTGTAATATAACTTGTTCATTTATAGTGCTTGTACAGTGTCTCCATGTTGTCTACTCTCACTGCAGCTGCAACAATCCAGCCAATCCTAACCTTACCGACAAGCCTTGGTGCTACTGGGTCCACCAGCTTACAAACTCGGATGTTGCTGCTGCAGTCGCCAGAAGAGAAGCAGATGACATCCTTCAAATTTTTGGGATGCCCCGCTATTTCTAATTCGTCTCTTGTTCTTGCGTCCTCTGTCCTCTTGCTGTCAGATGTGCTCTTATTGCACTCATGTTGTCTTGCTGTTGTGTGCTCAGATTCACTCGAACTCTTGCATTCCTCGTATGTAGCAATAGAAAAAGATCATTGAACTGTAATAACTGTAACTATGAGCTTTATAAATAATATCTACTCAATTCTGGCATCATCAGCATTGTCCTCGTCGTCCTCATCATGATATGCACTGTAGCAAACTCCAGGATCAGATACATCTAAGCCCAGCTTTTCAATCATAAAAAAACGCTCCTCTGTAAGCCCCGATGGAAGTGTTGGTTTGTGTGGAACCATGGCAATCACGCTGACAATATCCTTGACATCAATAGCCAAGACTTTCTCAGAGTGGGTACAGGAAGCGACCGTCTGGGAAGAAAGCTGCAGGAGAGCTTCGTCAGGGAGTGAATACATTTGGATCACAGCAATGTCCAACAAATGCCAGTTGTCTTCATTGTCACTATCTTCATCGGCATCATCCACTTTGACTGCGAGCCTGGTAAAATATTGAACTTCACCGAATCGAAACTGTCCAGCAACTTTAAACTATAATGAGTTAGTATGTAGAAGACATTTAAATAAAACGATCAAACCTTCACATTGCGTGACATTCGCACTTGCTCATGCGTTTTGGTGGTCTCTCTCCAAGCTGAGCGAGCGATCTGCTTATTGGGTAACAAAAGTCGGGCCCATTTCTTGATGCAAGGAAGCATCCGACGAGCACCAAGAAATTCAGTGATTGCTTGTGCATCTGCACCATCTGGGAGTTTCACATATCGTTCTCACTTGCGAAGAAGTACATACCCATCTCCTAAATCCACTGAACCATTTGGAAGGCCTTGGCATGAATTGTTGAGCTCGGGCATTATGGAGAGAAGGGTATTGACGCGGCAGTGTCGAACTCCTTTTTGTGAGAGGTTCACGAAAGGATTCGAGGGCTGATGGATTTCTTGACCCAAATTTCCAATCGTTCGTTCCATAGTCCACTGTGCGTAGCATATTGATGGGCCTTTCCACACTGTTTCTGAGACAAGGTGGTTGGTTTGATGAACACATGGGCGAATAAAGTGGATGCGATCTTCTCGGCGATGATAATACAAAAGTTCGAAGTCCTGCTCCCAGCAGCATAAAAGTGCTTGGGCATGGACAAGTTCCTGGGCTGTGATGCGATGTTGACACATCAGCTGGAATCCATGTATGAGTTGGCAGTAGTTAGACCAGTATTTCCAGGGTAGAATGTCATAGAGTAGTGTTACAGGCATCCATAACACCTACAGGAGCCCCAGCTCTGCCTACGCCTGCCCCCGCTCTGCTAGACTCTAGACGCGGCGGAACACGCCTGCACTTAGAAAGACAGCGGTCTGGACCACTGTGACACCGCCCTGGCCTAGACGGCCTTGTACCTGATCCATGGAGGCTGTACGTCTCATGGTCACCCTAGATCAGCGCATGTATACCGCATGTCGCTTCATGAAGATCGGAGCGCCCTTGGCGCCTCATGGTACTTATGCGCAGTCGCACTTGGCGCTGCATGCTTAATCAGAGGTTAAAGCCTCATGTACCTTATCTGACCTCATGTCTTGTTATCATAGATCCTAGATATACTATAGATTACAGACTGAGCTAGAATACTTATATGTAGCATATAAGTAGACAGATTATAGTACTTAGACTTTACTTTAATCTACTAGGTTCATCCCAGAACTTGTTCAACTAAGCCTCTCAGCTTTCTTGTATAAGACCGCACTTCTAAGTCGCTCCCCGCTTCTTAGCCGTATCCGCTAGCCCTGTATCTCGATGAGCGCCGTCTTACCGAGATCACTGGAGGAACCCTTGACGTTTCGTCAAGCCGAGAACCACCCTCAGCTTCAGTAGACTCACTCGAGTCGTCGCTGAGAAGACCTATCCTAGTTCGCACACGCCGACCGACGGTCAGCGTAACAAGTAGTGCAGGTGCAAGGCCAAACATGTACAGTTGAAATTCCCATGTTTTATAGCCGGTGTTAAGCTTCTCAGGATATTACAAGGCTTGCGATCAAATGAAGTGGGAAGGTAGGGTCCGGCATTCTCAACTGCTGCTCCATATATAGTCCAGGTACCCTCGTCTCTAAAGACAGCCCAGTCCCAAGTTTTGACATTGTCTGATGGGCCGCAGTCTAAAGTTCCGTGCCAGAGACTCAGTAAGAGATTGCTAAGATTTGCTGCGAGGTGCATGATGTCCGTCGTCATGCAGAATGGGACTCCAAGACTGCGTGAAGGACTTAGGCCAAGGATTAGAGGGGGCTTTGTTATACCTGTCTCCGTTTTCCTGAGGTCGAACTGACGTTGATTT